GGTAAATTATGTGCATCTAAAAAACTGTTAAACAAATAGATACAATTCCTGTTTCACTCAAAGAAAGTAACGCAGTCGTAAAAGAGGTCTTTTATTAGATTAATTGATGGGGGAAGTACGAAAAGTTGTGTAATATTTTTTTATGGCCGGTAAAATGTCTTTCTGGAATTGAATTATGTCTCGAGAAAGATGTATAAAGGTTTGTAATTCATTGAAGAGGAAATAAACCTAACTGGTCTTCCTTATGCTAGTGAACTGATTGTCCATCTCATTCTATTGCATACTAATATTTGATATTGAATTTATTAACTTAAAATGATGCTTTAAAATCTTTGATTCTTCATCTTTATGTAATTTAAATTTGTTGCTATCTCTTCTCCTAAGGAAAATGCCGTCGTTGGTTTGATTCTATAGGTGCATTTACATAGTTTTAGTATTGCTTTAATTGTGGGTAGTATATTTTCTGCAAGACCATTGAGACCATTTGACTCATCACGTTTGTACGAGATATCTTTGTAAAACTGATTGGACGATGATTCAATACGTATTGATTCCTAGCATTGGTAACCAGATAGAATAAACTGTTTATCTGTAAATTTAAGATTCATATAATAGAAGATGTTATGTCTGTTAATTCGCTATTTTGCAGATTGTAATAAAATATCACACATTTAATATTTATTCAACCTGTTATTTAAGATACCGAAATTAAGTTCAATTAAAGCTCTAGGTAGACTAAAAGCTCCCTAGAATAGATAATATAAAACAGACGGGATTTTGGAATATTTACTTTTAGGCATAATTTCAACTTTGGCGGAAAACAGAGAAGCAAAAAATTTTGCAACTATACCCATAAGTTTTGTTTTCTTATAATGAAATTAACATAACATCCATTGAATGAAACATATCATATTTGTATTCGGCCTCACCACAGCATAATACGTGATTGTATTGAATGTCTAGCAATGAATTTTCACTGAATACAGGCATATATTAACATTTTGGGATTTAGCCTTTCTATATATATTAATTCATGAAATGTAAAGCAAAACTAAATTTTCGATTCGTAATATTTTACCACGCTTTTCATTGTGCTGCATCAACATTTGCTACAGCTTCAATACGATTAATGTAGAAACATTTCTAAACAATTTAATATGAATGGATACATACATAATTCAGAATTATGCCAAATAAGTAACATATTCTTTTAAAGCAAATATTGTCATAATGAAATAAAATAATTCTCTTGATTAAACCAATAAGTATTTTTCAAATTTGCTATAAATAAAGATAACAACAAATTAAAACACTGGTAAAAACAGCGAAAAGGAACTGCAAATTTTTATTTTTGTAGGTTTATATGCTACTACCATTTAATAATAAAACGAAAATTTTATTCCATTTACCTGAAAATAAATATAACTTTCTTATTTCATATTGCAATCAATTTACTTTTTACTATTTTTTCTGTGGTGGAGGTGTTTTGTAAGAACAATTTCTTAACAAAATATTCTCAATATATTGTCTATTCTGCCCATCATTGGTTGGCTTTAAAAACGTTTATTTACAATTGTGTTAAACTTTGTGACTCATTATCTTTTGAATATAAAGATTATAATATTAGCTATTAATACAGATCCCACATTATTCACATAAAAAGTAGTAATAGACATTTTTTTAATTTTGCTTACTTTCATATCAATATTTTATATCCACTTTCCTTCTTAAAGTACTATGTTTATTCTTATACCAATAATATTGACCATGGGGTCAAAACAAATTGGGGATTCCAAATAGTGTCAATCTATTCAATCCTAAAATAATTTCCAATCTCTTACATGAAGATAGGCAAGTCAAATTTAGGTTTATCAAAATAAATGTGGACAATCGATCGTAATTTACGACTATTACTATTTTCCTGTGCAAAACAAAAGAACCTGCTGGTATTTGTAATAGATATAATTCATAGTACGAACCTTTCAATGAATAGATTCTTTTACAAGGCCTTTATTAAAATATTACAAATATAACATTTCTGTCCCAATTATCACTCAATCCATGAAATTGGCCATTGACATGTAAAGAACACTGTTTATTGTGAAAATTTATGAAGAAATCTTTAATGACTTGGAAAGTGTCCGAAACTATTAGCAATTAGTTATAATGGAATTTGTAATTGCAGCAATGGAATATTTGAGATTATTTAAAAAAGTACAGTATATTTATTTCAATGTAATAAACTCAATAATAACTTTCTATATTTCTTCTAAAACATAATTTAATTTCAGTATTTAATTTTTACATTATAAGTAAATATTTGACTAACTGGGACTGAGATGAGTTACCATTAAAAGAAATGTTTTTTAGTACGTAACTATTTTTTGCCTTCTTCTTCCAGCCCTTATTTTATTATTTTCTAAATACACAGAAAATAACACTGTGTCAGAATGCCTGTCAATGCACTTCTAAAGAAATATTTACATAGAAGTGGCGCAATTAGTTTATTTTGGGCTAACCACAAAAACTTATCCTTTTATTATCCGAACAGCAAACATGGCATTTCTGCTAATTTACACAAGTCCGGTGTTTATGAATGGAAGTATGTATAAACAACTATTTACTATATTACTAGAATAGACACAGAGCACTGAAGTGTAAAGTTCTGACATTGCGACACATTAAATGAAATTGCCCAGAAATGCATGAACACCCCTGGAAATAAACGGTAATTTTAGTTCAACAAACAAAATTAACAGTGGAAAAACTTCTTTGTGGTGCTTACAACCAATTAATATTTACATATTTGATGTTTAAAATTCGTTCATTGAACTTACTTTCATCTGTGAAAACCCAAGATAATAGTACCGAATTTACTATTTAACGTACTAAAGGACAAATTACTTAGATCAAATAGCAAATACGCAGAACGATTGCACAATTGATATTTTTGTATAAGCTATTAATTGACTGCAATTTTTTACTTAAATTTTCATATACCTAGATTATCATCTCGTTTTTCTTCATTGTTTTATCTCTGAAGCTTGGTAGAAAAAGGGCCAATGTCCAAAATTACATTTAACAGCCAATGAGTCTCCTGGACTACCCATGTTACATATTTGCATCGCAAAAAGGGCCAATGTCTTTAAATTATAAAATGGCCTAAGTTCATCTTAGTTTAATAGAAAAAGGGCCAATGTATGGACTTTGGTCCTTGAAATACTTTTAAAACGTTTGACAAACGACCAATGTCTACTGCAATGGACATTGGCCCTTTTTCTACCAAGCTCCAAATTTTAATCTACCTGTGTCACGAATTAATATTCAAAATTAATATTCTCCTCTGTTCCAAATGTGTGATAAATATAATTTATTTCAAAATTGGTTTGATATTTTTCATTGCAAATTGAATTATATTTGTTCTATATTTATCTACTGTTTTGTCTAATGCAATGACATGTATTGTTACTGTTTAATATACATATTTAGGTATCTCATATGATGTAATTTTCGGTTTATACCTACCCTGCAACTGGAGTTTCTGTAGGGTAGTGTATAGTCTAAATAATATAAAGCAAACAACATTTGAAGCAGTAGATCATTTCTCCATGAATCTCTATGATGATATGTCATGTCCCTAACGGACAAATTGCCGCATACATAGACATGTCAAAGAACTTAGCGATGTTACATATTATTATAGCAATGAATGAATCTATATAGGATTTGATAACACTTAACATATCGTCCACCATACTATACTGCCTGACCGTCAATTTTCTTATTATTTCCTTCATTGCTACCATTGCTACTATATGTAATAATTTCCTTCATTGCTAACATAACGTTAAGCTCTGTGAACCAATTTTTAATATTCTTAACTACATATTAGAAACTTATTAAGTGTTGTACTTGGTGCTACTAGTTAAGTAAGAATCGTCTGATAAAATTTCGATTTATTAAACAGCATGAGTTTAAAAAATAAGTTCGGTGGGTGGAAAAAAATAAGGGAACCGTAAGAATGGGAAGTTTATCGAGCGCGTTAAACAAGTCTCCATCAACTGTTTATTTACATTTTTTATGAGTCTGTAAACAGTCAATAATCTGCATGAGCGACCGACGGTATAACCTTCATTAACACATTTGATATAATGTTTTTATTTCAGTTATAAACCATGAAGTTTCACGATTTGAGTATGGATTTAATAGGAATAGGAAATTAAATTTGTTAGATAACATATACAAAAATAAAAATTCAGTATTTAAACCCGGCACGCAAAGTAAGTGTCAGTGCGGTGAAAATGGTTTAACAGTTACAGATCTGAGACTATATGTTTTATTATAAAAATAGTAATACCATTCATACATATTAATATTTTGGTTTAAATATTATTAAATATTATAACGTAGGTACGTATAAGAGTGTATTCCACTGAATGGATGAGAATAAATGTAAGTTAGTGACTAGTGAAAATGGGCAAGTGATCACTTATTTGCACAGTAAACAAGTACTTATAAGAAACTGTTGTGAAATGGACATGTCCGTAAATAAAAGAAATGTGTTTATTTTGGATTCTACTTCATTTCTTCATGGCACAATATAAACAAACGAAGCATATTGAGAAATTCTTTCTCTTAACCAATAAAATTATACAATTATGAATCCAGCCAGGATAGCACAATAGGTTACCTAAACATTACAGAAATTATTGATGCATTCATTTATCTCCAGTCTTAATAGTACGTGTAAAAACAATCAATCATAAGTTATATATATTTTAAATTGTATTGAAAAACGGTTTTTTACGCTTGAGTTGACGTATCCAATCATTTTCGGTTGAATGGATTGTGTTTTTAAGAAATATTGGAATTTAAAGCGAGACAATTCGCTTTCAAGTTACGTGGATTACTGTTCGTTTGTAGTGGGAAACCTTTATATAAATAGTTAGTAAGGGAATTTGCATTAATTTTATTAATTTTTGTGACTCGTGGACTGCAAAATGCTTCTGCAGAGAAGCATTTTATCACAGGTTAGTGACCTAACATGACGTAAACGTAAATTGTGTTATAATGGATGGTGTTTGCAGTGCAGTGAATTTTCTTTTAAAAAAGTGAAAGTTTTAATTCGCATAATTCACTAGTAAGTAATTTTTTATGATTTTAGGTTTGCATTTTACTGGTATTATGCCTAGTAAAAGCGCAATATGACTATGACAAAGAGGAGAAGAAAGAAGTAAAAGAAGAGGAGGAAGATGATCGTGATTACGCAAAAATTTTTGCTGAAGAAACGTCAGCTGCTCTCACTGCAGCAACATCAGACGAGCCTGAAAGTCCCAAACAAGCCGACTTTGTAACTCCAACAGAGTTTGAAACTTTTTTCAAACCAGCTCATAGTTAGTTTGTACCATTAAAATTAATACAATTTAACCGATTATTTATTTGTTTTAGTTTTTGGTGAATCAAATGATAAACCTGTAAAATCCGCCCCTGAGAACAAGAAGAAGGAACACTTACAATCCTATGAAAGTAAAAGAGAGGATTATCCTTCCTATCTGGATGATGGACCTTTGAAAGATTTCTTTGAGGAGTCGGAGAGGAGACAACAAAAACTACAGAAGCAACAATCCAACAAGGATGAGGAAGTAATCCCTCCAGGTCCTAGCTATGTTTCTCAACAGGTACCTGCCAAATACAGTAGTTATGAAGATGATGAAGAAGACAAATCAGCAAGTGCATCTGAAGACGTAAATAATAAGCAGAAAAGCAGTGATGAACCAGATATCGAAGAAGGAATAGTAGAAAAGAACGAAGAAGACTACAAACTGCCGATCCCATTCGCTTTCACTTTTAAATCGAATAAACCTAAAGTGAACTATGATACTGGCAAATCAAGTTCCACTGTGTCGCAGTACCCAACAGCTTCGGGATATGACAAACCAGCTGCGAGTTCTCAAGAAAGAACTAACAAAAAGCAAGAAAGTGCCCCTTATGATGAACAAGAAAGTTCTCCTTACGAAGATATAGTAAATCCTTACGAAAAGGAAGGACCTAATCCTTACGAGGAGCAGGCAAGTACTCCTTATGGAGCCAAAATAGCTACTCCTTATGAGAAGCAAGAAAAATCTAATAAAAAGCAAGTAAATACTCCTTATGATGAGCAAGAAAGTGTTCCTTACGAAGACAGAGTAAATCCTTATGAAAAGGATGGACCCAATCCTTACGAGGAGCTGGCAAGTACTCCTTATGGAAAGCAAGTAAATGCACCTTATGAGAAGCAAGAAAAAACTGATAAAAAACAAGAAAGTGCTCCTTACGACGAGCAGGCCAGTACTCCTTATGGGAAGCAAGTAGATAATGATTATGAAAAGAAAAAAAGCTCTCCCTATGAAAAGTACAGCTTCAAGCCATCGGAAGAATATGCAGCTCAAAACTCGAAATATTATGATTCCAAAGTTAAACCTTATAATCCCACATATAAGAAAAACAGTGAACCAAAACATGAGGGCCAGTCCTCTGAAAATAGCTTCAAGCCATCGGAAGAATATGCAGCTCAAAACTCGAAATATTATGATTCCAAAGTTAAACCTTATAATCCCACATATAAGAAAAGCAGTGAACCAAAACATGAGGGCCAGTCCTCTGAAAATACCCCCAGTCACTTACAGGGAAAAGGTTGCAGAAAAGTAGCATCTAACAACAAAGACGACATGAACTGTTTTATATGCGAAAATCCAAAAACAAATGCAAAATACACCCAGTGTTCGTTCAGCACACAACAGAAACCAGTAGACTATTATGAAGGAAATTCTGCTCAATATTCCATGCAGAATAAACCAGAGCCAAACTCATACAGGTACAAACGAAGCGCTGAAAACGCGGAAAACGATCCCTACACTTATGTAAGGAACAGGGCGAGGAAAGACTCTCACGATGGAGGGATTCCATCAGATTATAGTGCCGGCTTCCAATATGAACCGGAACATTATGATGAAAGTAAACCTGAACTAACATATTCAGAACAACATTCTGAGGAACTTAAGAAGAATCCCGACAATTGTAAGAAAGTTGACAAAGACGGTATGACATGTACTATATGCAAAGACCCCAAATCAGGTGGCAATTTTGAACAATGTTCTTACGCTTCCAAACCAAAAGAAAAGAAATTCGCTTATGTAACGGAAAAGAAGTTTGATAACGATGAACCTGCGGAATCCCAGATTATACCACAGAGCCAAGCAGCAGAAGCAAATGCAAAAGAAAACGCAGATGTAGCTTCCAAAAAAAATGCTGAATTCCTTGAACAGTTTCAAAGCCGTGTAAATGAGGAGAAAGCTCCCAAGAAAGGTAACGAAGAAGGTCGTGAAGACCATCATGCCAAGTCGTCAGAAAAGAAAGAAAAAAAGAATGAGGAGGGCTATGAATTCCCAAGCCATTTCGTTAAAAATGTAGGTTCACCCAATTACGACCACTCTGCTGCTTACAAAGGCGCCAGTTCAGACAATGTAGACACAAAGAAGAAATCGGATTATTTCACAGACTTTGATGAGTACCACTTCAAATATTTCCCCGAATTTTCGAAACAGCAACAAGCCAAACAAGAATCCAGGCAGCAACCCGTACGCGATAAGTATGAAGTCCCAGTTCCTGAAGCGACTAAACAGAACGTAGAATCCGTCTTGGCTGAATTCACCAAAAAAGACCGTTCAAACTGCAAGAAAGCAGAGAAGAAAGGCATGACCTGTTACCTGTGTGTAGATAAAAACAATATTCAGAACGAGGAATGTATGTACGTTCAAGAATCTAAACCTGAAACCAAACACATAGCTTATCACGAAGCTAAAGCAACGGAAAAGGCGAAACCAGCCGAGCCCGAACAAAACGTAACGGAGGCACCCAAACAAGAAACCAAACTAGAACCAGTTGTTACGGAAACCAAAAATAAATACTTCTTTAAAAATGTCCCCAATCCCCCAGCTCCGCTAGGATTAGAAGCAGCTGCTTCCGAACAAGTTAGTACGTTCGTCCGTTACGATCCCGATCGGGAGAAGAGAAGTGCAAATAAAAAAGAAAAGAAGGTGAAGGAAGATAAAGAACCTAAACCCGACGAAAGCGCTTATGAATCAGAAAGGATAGACGATAAGGCAGACCCAACTATAAAGACTCCAGAAGAATTCAACGTCGCCCCTGGAGAAGGAGCTTTTAGCGACGAGACTAAGGCCGTATATAGTAAAGAACTTGGAGTACAATTACCTAAATACATGTTAGAAAAGTCAGAATTCGAAAAAGAGTTTGATGCCTTTTCCGGAGCATTTTAAATTAGACTAAATATTTTTCACTGTGTGATAGTACCAGTAGTAATGATCAACTATCATTGTAATATATTATTATATAATATGTTTCGTTGTTGTTATGTTGTTAAAAAATAAAGTTTTTAAATTTGTTTCCTTTAACGTATAATTGATTAACTTACGTAACAAAATTGCATTCAGTGGAGCAATGACTCCTATTAAGACTACTATTGCAATAAGTTTTTGTGGTAAAATAGAAATCAAAAATTTACGCTATCCTAAGCAGAACTTTTTAATCGCTTTTTGTTTAAGTCGTGTTGTATCAACATATCCACATCTACGATTAGCTGAATAAATTCACCTTACAAGAAAAACTGTTTTTAAATCTTTACATACCATTTTTTTTAAATATATTTCACGTATTTCACGTAATATACTCTAATCATGAAGTGTGGATTGTTAGTACATCAATACGTAGCAAAAAAATTAAAAGAGAAAAGTAGTATCTTCAAATGACTCCGAAACTAGCCTGTTATTGATCAGCGATCTACGTAGAATTCAGAATACTTCATTATGCATTAATGTTAATCATAAACTGATTTTTTTTTCTGTTTTTGTAGACTGTATAATAACGTAACAGTGAATATTTTCTTGTAATAATGAAAAGCTTATTAAACAAATATTCTCAATTTTAACTCTTAACTTTATCCTTTACAAATCCTCCCTAAAAGAAATTCTTACATTTATTAGACTAGGTTTTGTAGGTATAAATATTTACTGAAGCCCAACGAACTTGTATACCTATTGACACAGAGCTGGTATAATAGAAAAATACATAATCTTCTCTGTAGATATACTCGGACTATTTGAAGTTTTCTAAAACATATTGTTTAGGAATTTGTTAATTGAGTCCTCTAGTATCAAAACCCCTTAAATCCGTTTTTGATGAAAAATGAGATATACGCTTCAAAATATTCCTACTAAAATTCCCTATGGATGTGTTCATTCGAATGATTGCAAAAGTCACCTATTATAATATTAGGTGACTTTTCCAATCTTTTTTCACTTTTTCCAAATTATAAAGCAAATGGAAAAAATTCTAAAATTCTAGTACTTACTGATTTAATAACAACTTAATAATTATTTACCTAAACAACAATGATGTGTATTAGAGCAGGATATAGATAAATGTAGAGACAACGCAGTAAATCTTGACTGTGTAAATTCATTGTCTAGTTTCTATGCTGGAATTACCTTTAACTTTATTAACAATTAATTTTATTATACTTATTACTCATGTTCCTTATTTAATAAAGAGAAATTAAATAGTTTTGTTTTGTTTTATATTGCCTAATTCACAGCTACTCGTAATATATCCACGGTTTATTATTAGTGTCATTGTCACATTATATTATTAAAAACTTATTAGTAATTTTATTGGCGTATTATTAATGTTAAATAATTAAGAAATTTTAAAAAATGACCAGTTATCCATAGTTAATTACTTTGTTGTACATTTTGCAGACATCTAATTAGACATCCAGTCAATGCAAAATACACATCATCGGTATATGCGATCAAATATCTTCTTCTCCAACCGCCACAAAACTATGACATTTTTTGACTGTCAGAAATCTCTAAGGTTGACATTTTCTTTACTGAGAAAAAAAATGGTATTTTAGAAACAATAGTTATTTATGGTACTAGTCTGTACGGTATATACAGGGTGGTCCGAATTGTATGCAGGAAACTTCGAGGGTAGATAGATCTCTTTAAAATAATATGTGTTTGCCTGATAAACATAGGTCTGGAACGGCCCCGTTTTAGAGATACAGGGTGTTGAGGTTTTAAAGAAAAATGATTTTTTTGTTTATATATTTATATATACCCTGTATAAGTCACGCTGGGAAATATAATTTCCCCAAGTGACTTATATGACGTAACACACGAGTGTCATCAAAATCTNCATTTTGCAGACATCTAATTAGACATCCAGTCAATGCAAAATACACATCATCGGTATATGCGATCAAATATCTTCTTCTCCAACCGCCACAAAACTATGACATTTTTTGACTGTCAGAAATCTCTAAGGTTGACATTTTCTTTACTGAGAAAAAAAATGGGATTTTAGAAACAATAGTTATTTATGGTACTAGTCTGTACGGTATATATAAGTCACGCTGGGAAATATAATTTCCCAAGTAACTTATATGACGTAACACACGAGTGTCATCAAAATCTTATCCAACACTCTCATAGAATTTGGTTTTAATAATAAATAAAAATAACTTAAAATTTCAAGTGGTCAATGTCAGAAAAAGTAATTTAACGAAATGAATGTATTTTTAAATATTACAAAGGATACGAGTGTCAACCTAAATTGTGTCTGTAACCAAGGGTTGTCAGTAAACAAACAATATTTTTTGAATTGAAAAAATGGAAAATGTGGAATTTCCATCTGAAATTTTAGAAAAAGCTAATGCGGCTACTGCAGGCATCATTCCGGAGAAATCAAAGTCTGTATATAACAAAAAACTGAAAGAATTTCAAGATTGGAAAATCAAGGAAGGGATGAAAGGCGTAAATGAAGATGTCTTGCCGGCTTATTTTTTCAATTTAAGTGAGAAATCAGTTCCATCCACATTGTGGACTAAATATCCCATGTTGAAGTCAACTTTGAGAGTTTACAAGAACATTGACAATATGCTGAGATCAAAATAACACTATTTAGACCAACTTACCTGTATACAAAAGTCAACACCCAACTGGCTAGAGAGGAACATCATATTTGATACATATTTTTGTTTATTTGAATATATTTGTCGGATATGTTGAAAATTATGTACATGGTGTTACTTTTTTGGTGTTCCTACCTCCCAGTCCCATAATTTTTTTATTCGTATGCCTGTGACTGTAAAATATATAATTATACAATATCGCTTTCTATATTGTTGTGAATTTTGATATCTCCTACAGATTTTCTGCAAAATGTACGTCCTTAAATGTATTTAAATACAGAGTGTTTGAGAAATATGTTATATTTAAGGGATCCAAAAATAAATTGGTCCAATTTAAGCCAACGAATCTCTGTTCGTAAGTTGTGCACGTTTTTCCCGGATACCCTGTACTTTCCTAAATTTTATATCGAGAGACGCTGTTATCAAATTATGTTTCCTTCGGTTCTGTTTGTGTGTGCAAATAAATCAAAGCCGATATATTTAACTGATTTATTTTTCTAAATATAAACTGCCTACAACTATGAGTGAATGTGACAGGATTGGTTTAAGGGCAAGACGGGGCCTGAAATATTTGGGCCTATCACATTTTACAATACAATACTTACAATACCTTGACAGCTTTGATAAGTCCGCCGTCTCTTTGGTATATTATTACACATTTTACAAAATAAAATAAATAATTTTCTTTACATTTACGTATTTTCACCTTCGCTGGTTACTTTGTAATCAGCAAAGGTGTTTCGAAATTCCGTACATATTTATTGGATTCGCGTAAAATAAATATATCTTTTAGAATATCTTTTTAAAGGGATTTAGTTTTTGGATAAATATACACGGAATTTAGTGATTCAGAGAACACAAAAGTATGGATGTAGGTAAGTACGTTTTTCTCTGACTAGTTGACAGATAACTTTTTTGAAAATCATTTCTGTCATGTAATTATACGGATTTGGTGCAAATTAAGAACATATCTAACAAAAAAATAATTACACAAAATGGCAACTTGCAATGAAATGTTTCAGCAGTTTGTAATTTCCTTGCAAATTACGTCTTGATATGATAAAAAGTGCATATAAACATAAATCGTAAAAAAACATTTCTTTGGTGTATCTTACTTCGCTAAAATATATAAAATATAATATATTGTAATAAAAAACACATTTGAAATGATTACAGTAAATAAATAACAAAATTCTTCGTAGTATTCTGAGACCAATGTATATCTTACAATACTTATTTGCATCGATTTGTCTAAAACACAAATGAATTTACAAAAACAATTACTACGTGTAACTTATCCTAAAGTATCTACACACTTATCCCACCCTTCTCTCGCACTCTTTTCAAGAAATGTTCAGCCATTTATTCAGTTTTTCAAATTTTCCGCCAGTTCGCACCAGAACTTAAGCGAGGTTCAGATCATGGGTGTTGAAAATGTTTTCTGTCTTCGTTAAACAAGCGCTGCCACTCTCTGTTGGCGAATTCGCTGAGGCCAGGGAGTTTGCTCTAGTCGCCGCCAGGGGGCTTCGGCTGCTTTGTTCCGTGTTTCCGTTCGAATTAACGCCGTTTCCTTGCGCCGGCACGTTGTTGTTAACGTGGTTAACGTGGACGTCGTTGCTGGTGTAATAATAAGCCGTATCTGGAAAAAAATACGTCGTTTACAGACACTGATGGTTCGCAATGTTACTTGCACATGGGATTGTGTAATAGGATTCAAATAAATGACTGAAGGCGAAAGAAACCTGAAAAATTTTAATATTTTGAGGACAATTATTTTTCTCGTAAATAGTTTTTCTGTTATCATGAAAATAAAATATTGGCTACATACTAGATGGACTAATTAGAACAAAAATGATATTTATCTGCTCCCACTGTGATAAATTAATACATTTTTTTTAAGGAGGTAAGTGGTACCGTAGAAGTGGAAGATATTTTATGAACAAATAAATAGAAATATATGATGAACATTACATTTTATTAATTATTATAAATGGATATTTATAGTACAATTATTACATTTAGTAACATTTATAAAATTTGGATAATTATTCCGCTCGCGTTTACTAATTGTCACATTTTTCTCAAAATGATTTGACCACTCCATTTCAGTTACCGGAGGCTCAATATTATCTGACTGATCCATTAAAATAGCACGATGCGGCGTACTACTAGAACCTGGAGTTGAAGTGGCATTGTAAAGGATCCTGTTGGTTATTTCATTTTTGTTACTTAACCTGTCGGTAACATAACTTTCTGCAGTTGTGGCTGATTTCCACCCACCCACCATGTCTCTTGATTGCTAATACATCAACTTATGTATTAGCCAGTAACGTTGCCGATGTTCTTCGGAATGAATGACCTGTATATGTTTCAGGATGTTCTAGTTTAAAAAACTGTGCAATCTTATTAGGAATCATAGAAAGGGTATTCTTGCCGACTGGTTGGTTGTAACATCTACTTGCTTGATAGCGCATGAAAAAGCGTGAAATTTCAGTTTTAATTTCCAATTTAATCTTGATATATTTCTTGAGAATTTCTAGGTGAGAGACAGAACCCAGTCGAGAAGTAATTATAAACGTACGTGACATACCATTTTTAGAATCTGGAATTGTAACTACAATAATGTCATCGAAATTTTTGAAATTGACGTTGTCCAAAGTAAGTTTGCATAACTCATCAGAACGGCATGCTCCTGCAATGCCTAAGATCGTTACTACCTTCATTTAGCAAATATGTGTTATATAGTGCCTGAATGAGAAAATATTTGACTTGTTCTCTTGTAAAAACGTTTAGGTGTATAGCCGTCATTCTTACGATTCAAAAATGCTCTTAGCTTGGGGTATTTTGATATATATCCACGTTCTCCTATATGAAAATAGTTGTCTTAATCATTGAGTATTCACTCCACAAATTCGCCGGTGATTTTAAAATTCTTCACTTCTCCATGAAATATGCTAGCAGTGACATTTCAGAAACACCAGTATTTTTGTTCTGTCCGTAGCGCACTTTCGACTTCTTGGGCAATGAAAATTCGCAGGCAGCATTTGCTGCAGTTTTTATTTGAAAATCACTCGTTTAGAAATAATTCAAAACCAGCTAAATTGCAGCTTTTATGTAGCTTGTTTATAAAGAAATCTTAGAAACAACAAAATCCAAAAAACCAAGGTGACTTTGCAAGATTTCGAATAAAGTCAAAATGAATCGATTAAGAAATGTCAAAAAATAAAACCTAATCTTCATTTCATGAATCATAAAAACTGTGGGAGCAGATAAAATGTTATATACCACGCAGCAGTTAAGTATAATTTACCATTCTCGGACTCTATTGCCAGTCCTCGCTCCGCTCGGGCGCAAGATCGTCCTCGACTGGTAAATAATACTCACCTCTTTTATGGTGTAAATAAATATTTACATTTTCGTAAAATGAAAAAGTTTTCCATCTCTTTGGCTCCATCCACATAAGCGGAATTAGAGTGCTGGCCTTTTTCAATTTTGGTGCATGCATAAAATTTCAATAAAACATTGTAGGAAATAAAAATAGAAACACATAATTGCAAAAGTTCAATGTTGAATCCTTTTTGAATTATCTACAAAAATCGGTTATAATATTTAATTTAAAACAATTACCTATTTCTAGGAATAAGTAACCTAAAATTTCTATGTGGATTTTCAATTTAAAATATTGATATTATTTTGAATCCTATTTTGTAATGGAAATATAACTAATCGTACAAAACTGAACATTACTGTATGAAGTCAATTTTGTGTGTTAATTGCTGGTTAATTTTGTGCAAATGTTAATTCAAAAGTACATTTCGTGATTATTAAAGTAAATGTAAAGATAAAAATCCAAAATTATATTTCCACCACAACCTTAAATGGAATTATGTCCTAATAAAGTCGTTGTTACGTAAATGAAAATTGTGGCAAATCGCCACTAAGTTTCATTCAATACTTGCAGTTACAATACTCACTGTTTACTTACTGAGTAACCCGCTGGATGCGCTTCCATAACCATAGGTACCATAAGCCGCCCCATACTGACTATAAGCCGTACTGTAAGCATAATCAGTTCCTGGTACGACCGTGGTGCCTGCTGAAAAGAGAAAATAATTATTAGAATTGGCCTCGCGTTGTACATGGATCTGTTTCTACTTTGTTTTCGTTTTGGACAATTCCATCAACGCGATATTCGAAATAAATGAAGAAACAGTGGAAATGAGTGATGGTACAAGCCTTAATAATAAAATTCAACTGTTTTTCGGAAATTTTAACTTATTTGGAACCATGACAGATGCAACAACTTTTTTCAAATAAAGCTAATGGACAATTTCACATTTTCTGCTTTGATTTGCTTTTTAATCTACATTCACTTACAAATAGCTACTTTTTTATCGCTTTGTCTAATGACTTACTGTAAAACCTTTAGGACATATACAGGGTTCTTCACGATAAGTGGTCTCATAGACGTTTCAGAGGAACCAATGACAATATGTCTCTGAAATTTTGTTTACGGGGGTTATCAAATTTGTTCTCTTCAATGAAAATAATGCCATCAACGTAGCACTTCCGGTTATACTGGAAGTAGCTGTCAACTTCGTTATTTTAAATGGGACGATTATCGACAAGATAAATTAAAAATGATTCAAAAATGTTGAAGATTCCCTGTACCTTAATCTATCCGTTTTCGAGATAATCGTTATTTTACAAAAAATTTGACAGATGCAAGCGTTTCGAAAATTCCTTATATCTTTCATCGTTCTGGGAGCTTTCACTTGCTTTTCGGAATACACAAAGAACATAAGATGCTCTACCTTAGCCGATCAAAATTACCTGAAGAAAATTATACTAAGTGTCTCATTTTTCACGTTACATTTTGAAAACTTAACACCGACAAAACTTTTTAAAGTCAAATGAAACACCCTGTATTTTTCTGCGACATATTATAGAAAATCAAATTCTCTTTTCACTGATATAGGCATTATAGGGGTTACAGTTTCAATTTTCTCAGATATTTGCGGTTTACATACATTTTCAAGAATATTACGTTAAAATATCATCAAATGTAACTTGAAAGGCAAATATTAGTTTATCATTCAGTATTCTACAAGTATCAAGTACTTTCTCGACAAGAAAACTGTAGAATAATTATTATATTTTGAATTTATTTTAGATCCATGGGACGGACATTCACCATGAATCAATATTAGCTGCATTTCTATGATTTGGTATTTTGCAAAATTTGACATTAATAAAGTGCGTTGTTTCACGTTTGTCGCATCTTTTAAATAATGAGGGGGTATATTTACACAAAAATAATACCTAATAAGATTTCCTTCCATTGGGATACTATTATTAGCAACTGCAAGTACAATAAAGAGGAAATAAGCATTCTTTCATTAAGAAAACAATGAAATGTAAAGTAATCAAAATTTTAAATTATAGTATCCTCTCAACTTCATTCCAAATATCATAAAATTATAATAATGCATTTATTAGTTATTTGAAATTATTTTATTTATTGTCTTTGCTATTCTATAAAAACTTTTACAACATTAAAAATTAGAGAAAAATTCTAAGAAAACCAACCAAAATCATTTCATTAATTGTTCTGTTTCAGTTGCAAAATACCAAATCATAGAAATACAGTTAATAATTTTGATTCACGGTGAATGTTCCATGGATATAAAGAAAATTCAAAATATCTTCATTAGAATAATTAATATGCCACTTACCACTTACAAGAACTTTGTATATTCATACCTATTAGAAGAGACAAACCTTCACTGATTCAGTAAAAATGTTTTTATTTCTTTGTAGTTTTACCTACAGACTTTACAATATAATATTGTAAAGTAATCTTTAAATTCCATATTGCGCTACAAAGTCGTAGAACCAAGTAGATGCAATGTGTTAGTTTCTAAAAGAACCTTGTTCCAATTACTTCATATTACAGTACTTTTTTGTTTTTTTTTAACTAATACGTTATTTGCATGTAATTAATTCTGAAAAAGATTGATTAGGGAATTGCATAGATGAAGTAGTGTATCTAGTTACAATTTTGGACAATATTGAAGACTCAAATTTAACCTTAAGAGATTTAACCCAAAAGAGATTGACTTCTACTTTATTATCGGCACATTTACCTTAAGGAGATTAATAATTTGTCTTTAAATTCATCGTTGCCAGGACATAATTGATTTAAATTTGTATGTGATTTGTTAAATAATTTTTTGTTTAATTAATATTAAATCCTTTTATCCCCATTCACGCCTCCTTAAATCTTCTATATATAGCTTTAAATTGCCATTGTCAGTAGAAGGGTACTTAGGTCTCTTTCATACGAAATTGGTGTTAAATAAATATGTTATACGGGCTATCCAATTTTTGTTTGTATTGACACCTTTAAATTAATTTTCCCAACGTTTTTAAATCTCTGGAGGCAAACCCGTTATCAAAACGCCTAACTTGTCCTGATATTCGTTTCTTGTTATTGGTTCTAAAGCAGCTACATATGAAACCACAAGGACCGACATGGATATCAGATCAGGGGGTTCTTATAACGGGCCCGCCCTCACATGACCTAGACCGAGAACAACAAAGGCAGGTCAAAGATTCCTGTAAGTTTATAACTGGCTACTTAGGCGACGGCGCGGCGTATCAATCGCACAAGTTTAAATTTATTTTGTCTGTTATAAGAGTGACACTACCTGTTGTAGAATAACCAAAACTGGGTAACATTGTGGAATAGTGTTGTGAGGCGCCGTTGGAGGGCTGGAGAACTGTGAGAGCTGCTGGATCCGGCGATCCGGTATGCGATGCGGGTTGGCTTCCGGATTCCGCGGGCAGAGCCAGCGGTAGCCCGGGGGAAGCCCCGTCCACTGCTGCCCCCAGCCCGACCACGCCACTGTACGGCGAACTAGTCTCGGCTACATCATGCAATAACAAAAATATTAGCACACAAACATAAAAAACAAAACGAAAATTAAATTAGGAAAGGATGATCCAATAAAGACGGTTGTGGTGAAATAATGGAGTAATTTTTATTAGATGTCAATCAAAATTGTAAATTTCTTTCAAGAGAAAATAAATTAATAATAAAATATAGTAGAGAGTATAATCGCTAAATGATTGTGAATATACTACAAAGCTGAAAAATATCGATTCTTATTACTTCCCTTAATAAATAATATAATACTTTTAGATATTTATTTGTACACCCATATTTCTTTACAGCATCTCAGTGTAAACTCCATATTAAACACATCTTTATTGAATATTCTATATAATAAATAAATAAAAACATACTACATGCAACACTGCAGAGCTACATTTTTTAGAATACATATTATCTATTATCTTGGATGTAAGAAGGGGGATTTTTTGCTGGAATACCTTCAGTACATGTCACAATAAAGGTGTAGATCCCTATATCTGGGCGAGACCCGGAACATTTTGAAAATTCGGAAAAATATTCAAAAAATTTAAAAAAATACCTATTTCATCTGAGTTTTTTACTTATATCTTGGAACCTATGCAATTTGGAAGAATATTGAAGAGGAAAAAAGTTTTAGAATTGAATTTTGCACATACTGTAAATTAAAAATGTTTTAATTTATTACCGATGTTGCAAAATAGCAATAATTCATGAAAAAAAGGCAAAATAATCAAGTTTTTTGGATAATTTTTTAAAAATATTTTAATTGCTCCGAGGGCATTCTAATTTTGGAAAAAAAAACTTTAGAGTATAATAAAACAACACACCAATTTTCATTAAAATTGGTTCAATAGTTGTCGCAAAATAATTTTTTGAAAAAAATTTTCAAAATGTTGAACAGCCTCAAATAAACCATCTAGATACTTTATTATTTTATTCACATAAAAAAGACCGCTCAACCCTCCAAATGGCTTTTGAAAAATTGAAATCGTTTGATTACGACGGCCACAGTAAATTTTTAAACTCTTTTTTTTTATTTTTAAACAATCAGATTACATTTATCAATTTGCAATTTAGTTTTTTTTTTAAATTATAATTTTAAAGTACTCGGAAAGACGTTTCTAAAAAAAAGTTAAATTCCGTTTATTAGTTCTCGAGATATAAGCGGTCAAAGTTTATCGGCATTTACCGTTAATTTATAAACAATTTAATAATAATCATTTATCCAGTGGCTTCGTTTTTCCTAGTTCTAAACTGGAAAAAATGTTCATATCCATAAGTTCCAGTAGAATATGCAAAATTCAATTCTAAAACTCTTTTTCCTCTTCAACATTCTTCCAAAATGCATAGGTTCCAAGATATAAGTAAAAACCTCAGATAAAATAGGTATTTTTAAAAATATTTTAAAATTTTTGCAATTTTGAAATTGTTGCGGACCTCGCCCAGATCTAGGGATCTACACTTTTCTTATGTGAGTCGTACTGAAGGTAATCCATAAAAAATTAGCACATCCACCTCAAAACAGATCCGTCCTGGTCTAAATAAAAATAATACATAATAAAAATTTAAAACTACTTTTTCAAAAACCAAATGACATCTACACGAAACTGTTAGCTACCGCTGAGCAGAATGAGTAACCTAAGACTAAGGTGGTCGAAGTAACTAATTACGTGTAATCGTTTAAGATTATTATTTGTATAACGAATTTTATCACAAAGTAGGTATGTCGTAAGTAACGGCGTCTTTGCATCTAACTAGTTGATATTCACAAAAATGGAGCTCGTAGATCTATCATTGTCAGTTCATTAGCCGACAGCTAGGCTGGAATTAGTTGTTATTCGCTGTTTTGTAGAACTACATGTGTGATTATTTCATACAAGCGTAAATATTAGTACATGCAATGATTATAAATTGTGATATACAGATGGTAGCTGTATTAATGTAAAATTGGCGAAAAAAGAAGATTAAGAAATAGTTCGTGCTGGGGAGGTTTTATTAATTTTAATTTTAATTATGCATAGATGAAAAGGATGGTTCTTAAAGGAATAAGATTCAAATAAATTCATAATAAGTTTGCATCTGAGATGCTCTCTGAACACGGCAAGAAAAAAGCTCCAAAAGTATATTTGTAAATCCGCTATCCCAAATTGTCACTAACTGCTTTAAATTAGAGGAAATAATGGTAATATAAAATCCAACTTTGTATTAAATAAGCCGAAGTACGATATGACTATTACATTATTTTTTATTAGTCAACTCCTCTTCAATCTTGAATAATTAAATATGTACTTACATACGAGTATATGAATTGTTTTAGAATATTTGTTAAAAATTTTATACCCCACAAATTCTTATAGTTATAACGTATTTTAATATTATATTCATAAGAAGTTAATGTGCACGACAATAAATATTAATATAAAATTTCTAGTGAAATAATAAAGAACCTCCTTCACCTTATTTAGGTGTTGTGCGCTATTCGAAAGGTCATCCGATGAATCCCGTACCCTATCCTTTAAAACGCATTGGCAACTAAGTGAAAAAATGATACAAGCGAATTGAATAAAATAACATGGGAACATAGGAAGGGCAGATTGGAGATACCTAACGAGACATTTTAATTAGAGGATTCAATGCCAAATGATGCAATAAGTAGCTTTAACAATAGCGTGGTAAAAAAACATGCGAAAATAAGTGTAAGGACATGCAAAGTTAAACAGTACAGTGGCGTAGGGTCACTGGGTGCATATTTATGGGGAAAATTGTGCGCACCTCAACCAATTTAAATATGAAATAGGTGTTGGTCAACTTTTTAGTATTTAAGAAGGCGTATTTAGATAATGAAAATTATACGTAGAAAAGTTGACTAAAAAAGGAACAAAACACCCTGTATAACTTCTGTTATCTTGAATTTACCTCAATGAATAGTATTTAAAACTAAAATAGTTAATATAATCGTGAATTAGTGTAATTTCAATAGGAATAACATATCACGGATTGATTTTTTTTTCAAATTATTTTGAAATCTCTCATGTATTCTGATTTTGCAGGGTCTTTGAATAGTGCAAATATAATTAGTTAATAATAGTGTGTAATTAAAGAATTATTAGAACACTACACATTTTTATAATAGCAGAAATTTTTCCCCATTTTCCTAATACTTACCGGAATGGTATGGGGACATTGCTGTATCCATTATCCTACTGGTTTCTATTTTCATTTCGTGCATAGTTATTGGGGCTAACGGGGTCAATGAACTGGTACCTGTGTTTTGATTTGCTTTTCAATATCTTTGTTACATTATATAATTTAATTTACCACCACCAGGATGTGCTCGTTTAATTTATTTAAGTAACGTAAATATAAGTGCTTATAGCAAATCAACCAAGTGCACAAGTGCACAAATTCGTTAGTAATAGGTACAAAGTGTCTTAAAAATACGTTCCATCGTTAGTAAAGAGATTCCTCATCCAGAAATTAGTCAAATTGTTCATGTTAAGGTTTGTTCTATTTTGCCTCGTCACTGGCATCTTTATAATTTTATGAAAAGTAATATATGTGTCATACTGACTTGATAGTATAGTTTTTTAGACAGTTAAATATCTAATAAAATTTTGACAGTTTTTTTAATTCATTCATCTTCTAGATGAGTATAAAATCGGAAAAATATCAGGTGACTTTTATTATGCGTTTATCTGATTTTTTATTTCGACAGTTATCTGTATTTTCAAAACTAAATCTTAAAACTTTAACTAATTTTGGGATGAGAAATTTCCAGAATACACTGTAAATTTTTTCCTTTAGAGCTCAACTGAATACCATTAATTATATTAAGACTAACGCTTTTAAAGCAATAATAACATAGACATCATTAAATGAATCTTTTTGGTTATAATTTATTGGATTTCTAAAAGTAACCACGGTCATACATGTCTAAAAGAGATAAATTTACCAAGTAAAAATATTAAAAATAAGAAACTGACGCAAATTCATGCTTCCATTATCTGTAAAGTCAGTTGTTTTCATAAAAAACTTGAAAACCTTTTTTGCTCTATGCGAAACAAGTCCTGAGTTTCAGCGGGCAAAGCCCATTTATTTTATCCCAATTAGGATGTACTTTTTGGAGGCTTGAAGAGCCTATTAATTGATTGAAAGCAAGACATGCTTACCTAGTGAACCCGGAAGAGGAGGTGTGTAAATATTTTGGGAGGTTGCTTGGCTCATGGTGTTGATGGTATCGTAGATATCCGAGGCAGAACTGACGGTACCGACGCCAGCAAAACCTGCATGCGTGTCGTAGTATCCCGTCTGACCCGTGGTCGTTCCCGCTCCACCCAGTTCCGACAACAGCTTGTGCTCATCCTTGATACTCCATTTACTCGACCAAAGCTGAAAGAAACGATTGCACCTATAAAACAACATCTCTGGAAAAAGCGACATAATTATTAAGACAATGGCGTACGGCAAATTCCTAATTAGTTTTAGCTAAAAACTGCCATCAGGGCAGAACATCGATTCTGCACAGTTTCCTATGGTATCGCAACTACCAAACAAAAATAATTTGCTCGTAGATATGCAATAATCCGTTTAGTTACAAAGCTGCTATCGAGTTCGTTGACCTATTTCTACAATGTCCAATGGGTACATAACATTCTTTTGCTATTCTCTGCCTTTAGTTGTCATCCACTACAAGTAAATTTTAGAAGTTATCCACGTGGTCAGTTCAAATTGATTTGGGTTGTTCTTACGAGGTCTGTTAAAAAAATAACCGAACTTTTTTTTTATACTTTATTATTCATTTTATTTGTCTCCTTCAAAGTACTCCCCTCCTCTATTCACACACATCCCAGCGGTTTCCATTTCGCGAAGCAATCCTGGAAGCTTCATTTGAAATGACATTTAAAATTTGTGACGAATTTGCTTTGATGTCATCACTTTAATGAGCTCACTGTGAATGAAAGAAGGACCTAATGATTCATAATCTTAATATTTTAAATAAATAGTTATGGTCCAGTGACAACAATTTTAAATTTTATGGCATTGTATTATCTTAAGAATTAAGACATTTTCATTGTTGGTTTGATAAATTGTTGATGAAAATTTTGGTACCAAAAAGATATAATTGGGAGTGAATTGATTGAATTTGTCTAGAAATGAAATTCTTTTCATTCCTCTTTAGACGACTTCATTTATGGTTTAACCAATTTGTTGGAATGTAGGCCATATCTAATGCCTGTAAGAATTCCTGAAGTTTAAGAAGAATTGAAATATCTACACCACAAAAATATTCAGAATATTAAGAGGGCTTACTATCACTTCATAGCAGCGTTTCCTCGAGCCAATACCAATTAAATTTTAATGTACGTGCAACTTATTATCTCCTGGGGATCTACTAAAAATTAAATTAGTGTTGAATGTCTGTCCACTTCAGTAAACATATGATAATGTTAACGTTAAAGCTAAATCGGTTGAACTAATGGTTCGACTTACAAGTTAATACACGGCAATATTAGAAGGTATGGCCTGGAGGAAACATTTAAATTGGTGCGTGTTTTGGTTATTAGGAAACTTACCTACACGTAGGATAAAGGCGACTAAATAATAAATAACTACAGGAGGAACAGTATTCGGCCAGATGTTAGGATAAGATAGCTATCGCACAAGTAGTACTTTTAAGTGATTTCTCTTAAAATAGAAGCGGTAATTTAATATTGCATCAGTGGGTGCAATAAATAAACTCGGCAATAAACAACATAAAATCGTAAACACAGTACATTGAAAGTTAATTTTGTTTTAATGAGAGCAATTTACTTACATTTGAATATAGCTGGTCCCCATTATACTGTGATCTCTGCCTTTTTAGGTCATCCTCCGGATGCCCATTTATATCTCTATTTTCATCTGCAACAAAAAAATAACATCAAACGTATTTCGACACACACGAATATTATAATTAAAACATTCTTTTCCCGCAAAAAACGCGTGCTATTACTTTTAATGGCGTTGCCACATTTTAAATTTGTGTGATGCCTCTTTTAATTTGTTTTACTTGTTTAGGCACGGTTGTATTAATGCTCGGTGGTGTCCCCAGTGAGTCATTCCAATCTATTCCGGTTATAGCTGTAGAGTTATTGGAATACGCTGTTAACAGAACTGACTACGATTTAACCAGATTTAAATGAACCCGTTCGAATCTGCGGTGCTCGGGTCTATTAAAATTAACGGTTATTTTATTCTGACATTATTTATTTAATTTGAAATATAATATTTTGGATTTACAGTAATTGTCATTTATTACCTCCAGTCAATACAAATTATGTACCTAAGTAAACCAAGTAAAATTTTGCTTTATATCCATAAAACGTAAAACAGGATTCAATGTTGTGAGGAGTACGACAATAAAAAAATATACATATAGATATACATAGTTATATAAAAGTGTATTAGTTGCTGCAAACACCTGATTAACATTTTTATGTATCACTGTTCAAAGTTTCAATCAAATTTCACTCAATTTTACTCAATAATGTTTCAATTTCTGGCCACACTAGATTGAGTGAAATTTTCACTCTATTAGTACGAGTACAACTGAGTGAAACTATTGCACCAGAAATGAGTGAGTTTTACTCATGCCCGAATTACTGCTAATTATCAATTGAGTGATTTTTTACTCTATTCTGAGTATATAAAACCAATTTAGAGTTGACTTTTCTCTAATATGATTTAAATTTAACTATTATGGGTCATTTTTTACTTGGTTTTTAATTAACTAAATATTGAGTGTAAAAATAAATCACTCATAAATAATTCATTATAAAGGATATAAAGGATATATAGTGTTGAAATTAATTAGACGCTATACAGCATGTTCTGCAAATGATGAACTTTCAAATTAGAAGAGATATTGTAAAAATAATGTCTCAAAGTGAAACAAAAATACTCTAGGCTTTAAAAATGTTAGAAATAAACAAAATAATGAATTTCATTATAACATTATCATAGCTTCATACAATACAGCTGATAACTATGCTATCGGAAAAAATTAAGGGAAAAAATTATATCATTAATTTTTTACTGATTTTTGTATCTCACTGAAGCTTCAAAACGTTTTTTTTTTTATCTCGATAAGACTCTTTTTCACTGAGATACAGTCTTTCAAAAATCACTACATTTATCAAATATTTTTCATCCTTTAATTTTTTCCAGTAGAGTATAAGACAAAAATAATTGAAAACTCTTAGAAATAATATTTTCTGCAATGCAAGTGGATTTTTTTTTCTAAATTAAAACTGACTAATTAAAAATAGGGCCTTCTGAAATTAAATTTCTGAAATAAACCTAAAAAGAAGTGTGAAAGTTGGGACACATTACTAAACTGTGTCCCACTCGAACGTCTTCCGAGAGACTGGCATCACTCGGTATATGATTTGCAGAGTAAAATTATGTAAAAAAAATTATTATTTATAAATGTTTAAAAGATGTAACAACAAAATTATTGGCAGTGGCGTAAAATTTCATGTAGAATGGATGGAAAGTTTTCCATCCATTCTAATCAAATACTGGCTTTGCAACCCCGTACTGCGATATAATATACCGAAATGTATATTGTGAAATTCGCCATTTACTATAGTCGGACGATATTTTGGGGTAAACTTAGGAAGGCTTTATAGTTCCGGATACAGGGTTCCGGTTAAGCAAAGTCACCCATCTCAAAGCGTATTGTCAAGTCAACCGCACAAGAACAGACTGTGCATTTTCCAACAATGCCCGCATAGAACAGATTTAACCGATTCTTTGTTATTTTGCGCTAATGCGAACTGAGCAAGTCATCAAAGTTTATTCGAATATAATGCGAAATTCTGGGCAATTTCATAGCTTTTGGATTTACTTTGAAGGGGCTAGTATATTCAAATGAGAACTATGACTAATCGAGTGCTCTACACAACTTTAACAATAGTTGTTTCGAAAACAAACATTTTTCCTCCACAATTTTAAAGATTATGACATTTTTAAGTTTTTTCAGACATTTGGCCTATAATATTTAAAAGTATTACATAGTATATCATTTATTTGATGCCAAAGAATGAGCACAACGTATTTAATTTCAGTCATTGTAATAATTATCACAATATAAATTGTAAATTTCACACAACTTCAAGTTGCTCGTCTTACAATTATGTGAATTTTCCTAGTAATGTTTTTCCGTATAATAAATAATGCATAATTTTATAAGTTTTACGAAAATTACAAATAAAAATATTTGAATATTAAATCAGAGATTTCGCAGTGGCATGTTTTCGTTGATCAAATATTGATTTCTAAGTTTATTTTTTATGATAGTGTAAGGGGTTTTGCACTTAAGTGAGCACAAATTTTTCTTGAAAATAGAATTAAGTATGCTAATATAAAAAGTAGCTATCCGTAGATTGCTTTTTTTGGATGGGTGTACCACAGGGTTCAGTCATGGGGCCAGTACTTTAAATGTTTATAAATTAAACAGAAGTTTTAGTATTTACACTGATAACACTTCCGGATTGACATCGAGCACTAATGATAGGAATTTAGAGAAAAATGCGAATACATATTTTACTGAATGACATAACATAATGGTTACTGATTACTATATTTTAAAACATACAAAATAATAAGTTTATAACAATGTTATTTTTCTGTACTGGAGCTTCAATTCAGTAGTAACTAATAATGTTTATGATATAAAATATGTAAAATAATCTACGGACACATACATTATGTTTCATGGGGTGCCCTTTCTGAATGCGAAAAGGGAACCGCTGAGGACGAATGTATCCATAAGGGAATGCAAAACACAACTTTGCAACAGATTTAGCTAGAGTGGCCGGTGCTCTCTTCATTATCTCAACACAACCTATTTAATTGTGTCCACTATTTTCCCTTGTTTATTTCAGCAGAGCAAAGCGAACGCCAAAGTGTGAAGGGGTGGAAACCGAGAGAGATGGGAATAGGCGGACTACGGCGAGGTGGATTAAAATGGTGACCAGAGCTAAAACGTTATTTACTTGGTTATTTTAGATTCAAGCCACAATATCCATTGTTTTAATAACAAGAATTTGAATGGCCTGTCACAATTAAAATTAATAGAGAGCTCTCTCTATTGATTTCATTACGTTTCAAAACAGTTTATTAACTTTACATTCAAATATGGAGAACTCAATTTATATTTCCAAACTATTTTCGAAGCCGTATCAATAATGTCTCTATTGGATATTTATCATTAATTTCATTAAATGCTATCTATAATTTAATCCATTTAACAACGGCGACACAATATAAACGCTTTAGACCAAAACCAAATTCCGAATTTAATTATAAATACTATTTTGTTATCACTACTATTTATTTAACGTTTTGATATTTCCTCGAAAAAATAAGTTAAAATTTTGCTTTTAACTAGATCTGATAGTTTAAATTTGTTTGAATTTGACTTTTTGTATATTAACTAACTTTGATACTCTCTGAATATGAATTAAAATATGCTAAATCAGCCCACTGACATTGACCCTAGTAGGATTATATTCGATGTTAAATACTGATATGATGATGAATCTTTCATATGAGGGTAGGATGCGCAATGGCAAGGCAGTGGGGTGGGGATCTTGGGTTACCTGCTGCCTGCATTTCCATCTCATTCTATAGTTGGTGCGTTTATCTCAAAAATCTTATGTACTATTAAACCAGGGCGAACCTGTCGAAATATCCTACTTCTTGGATGTAAGAGGGGGCAAGCTAATTTTTGCTGGAATACCTTCACTACAATTCACATAATAAAAGTGTACACCCCTAGATCTGAACGAGGTCCGGAACATTTTCAAAATTGCAAAAATGTTTTAAACATTTTAAAGATACTTATTTTATCTGTTTTTTACTTACATCTTTTTTCAATTTTTCAAAAACTATTTGAAAGGCTGTGCGGGCTTTTATATGTGAAAAAGTTTTCAAGTATCTAGATGCTTTATTTAAGGCTGTGCAACATTTTGAAAATTCGAAAAAATTTTTTCAAAATTTTTTTCAAAAAATTATTTTGCGAAAACTATCTAACCGATTTTAATGAAATTTGGTGTGTTGTTTTATTATACTCTAAAGTTTTTTTTTACCAAAATTAGAATGCCCTCGGAACAATTAAAATATTTTTAAAGAAGTACCTATCCAAAAAACTTAATTATTTTGCCTCCTTTTCATCAATTATTGCTATTTTGCATCATCGGTAATAAATTTAAACATTTTTAACAGTATATTGTGCAAAATTCAAATCTGAAACTTTTTGCCTCTTCAATATTCTTCCAAAATGCATAGGTTACCAGATATAAGTAAAAAAAACTCAGGTAAAATAGGTATTTTTAAAAATTTTGTGAGTTGTACTGAACGTAATCCAGAAAAGAAATGCTTGTCCCCTCTCACATCCACCTCAAAACAGATCCAGATCAGACAATTTGAAGGTTAAGAAACTGTGAAAAATTGACCCAAAGCGGTAGAGAAAATGTAATTCAATGAAAATATGTAGTCTAGAAGCAGTTTTTAACGTGTTATTTCCGATAGGTGTTCGTGCTCAATCATTAAATTACCGCGTTTTTCTAGCGAATCACTGGAATTATCGATCGATTACTAGTCGAGCAAATAATGAGAATGTCAACATATTAATCAAAACAGTAAATAAATATCTGTCAGTGGGTGGAAGGAGCCTAGAAAGGGCAACGTTTCCCAGTATGTCTCCGTACTGTAGCCGCTGGAGCGTATTGTTGTTACAATACAAGCTAAGTTAGTGATTAACCATCACTCATCCTGTGACGTCATTGTTCGGTGATTAATTGATTAACAGATTATAAAGTAGGAACAGGATTAGCGTCTATAGACATTACACGCCG